TCATTCATGATTTAAGTGTATAGCATGATGAAAAAATTAAAAAAAATTTAATTCCAAAAATATCAAGGTTTTTGGGGTTTTTTGAGTATTTTTTGATAGACAAGTTACAGAGTATGATGAACTACATTACAAATTTCAAAGGAATATTGAACAGTATGTCTGTTGTAATTTTAATTACTGAGACTATGCTATAGTCCATCAGAATTGGTTCTGGGAAAATATTATTGGGGAGGGATATAACACTATTTCCGTATACAAAAATTTACCTACTATCATCAAAGGAACATTTTTTGGAGTTTAAAATCTGAAAACATTTTGTATATTTATACTAATAAAATATATTCATTACTTTCAAATTTAAATTGTTAATAAAGCATAATCACAATTTTAATGACCTTACTTCTTAAAATTACGGGATTTAATTTCTAATATGATTTAAATACTGAGTAATAAATGAATAATTAATTTTAAATTTACGTAATTAATAGACTTTTAACATAAAAAATAGTTTGCAAAAATTTGTATTGACGTTTGAAAATATTTGCAAACTATTTTTTAAAAATCTGTTTTTTAAAAGGTTTAATAATTATTCTTTTTTTTTTAAATTACAATTTTTCGACATAGGTTAACTCAATAAATTTTAGCCATACTACCATTTTTTTTTGGCGATATTTTCTTATAAAAACAGAGATTATTGATATTAAAATTATTAAAGTTTTATTATTCTCTTGTAAATTCTAGGATCTAATGTATATAGAGTGTTCAGTAATTAAAGAAACTGGTTTCTATTATTCTCATTGTTTGTAATAATAGACCTATTTCCTTACTTAATGAACACTCTGTATAATCACTATGTGCACTTTGAAGAATTTTTCAAGTTTTTCATTTAAAATTTTATATCATCTTAAAAGCGAATACTTATTCAAATTTTTGGAATACAGTAAAATGGAACCATTTCAAATTTAATAACATTTAAATATCAATAGTGCAAAAGAAGAACTAAAATATTTATATCGATTCCATCCTCAAATCACCTTAAAAAAATATTGCCTCATTTATTACTATATAACCTGTTTAAAAATATAACGCTGATGACTTTATAACATAACATTTTAAATCTATCCATTATACTATTTTTATGGTATGGTGGATAAATTTAAAATTTAATTAATAATTGGTAATTATGAAATATAAACAGATCATACTTAACGGACTTGTTATATATTTTTAAGAATTGGTCGGAGCGACGACCCTAAACACCTCCTTAGACATCAGCCCCGTTCTCTATGCATTTAATTAGAGTATATCTTTGGGGCATAATTTGTATAGTATTGACGGACAGTCGAGTCTGATTAAAATTCCTCACACATTAAGTTACCCATCCAAGTAACTTTGTGCATGTTTATTTGACGTATCTGCTCGTTAGAAGGGTACGATTATTTACGTCCCTCTCAATATTAATGTTCATTAAAACTTCTAAGCCTAAAACTCACTTGGGACGATAGTTTTAATTAGGATATTGTCCTTTACATGTCAAGAAAAATAATAAATTTTAATATTTTGATCAAATTTATGAACACTGATTAAGAAAGAATATTTAGTTAGGCTCAATAAAACCGAACGAATTACTGAAGATGAAATTTTAACTTAATTAATATTCAAAAAAATAATACACATCAAATAATGTTCTAACAAACGTCAAAATATATCACAGTTTGAAAAAATAAGGATAATCCAAAGATTTAAATTAGTTTATGTCAATGTATTAAATTTTCCAAAATAATCGTTAGCTGGTATTATAAGAACAAGTCATAGCGATGGATTATTCTGAGCAAGAAGACTTTGTCGGGAGGATTTGAGTGACGTCGTCCGGCAAATGGGTCCAAGCCACAAATGTTTCCTTAAAGTTCAATTAATTTCGTACCACTAGTAGACTTGTCCTTTTTAGTCATAAGATTAATTACTTATAGTGTACTACCGTTACCATAAGATAAGTTTATTTAATGAAAATACAACGACAAAGTTTAATTCATAAGTAACAAACTATAACCTTAAATGTGCTATTTTAGTCAACGGTTGAAAGTTCTTCTCATTTATTGATTTTGTCAATTTTATCAAGGTTAGCTAGATTTTTGATAATTTTTTGTTATGGCCATAAAATTGAGTTAAAAAAATATAAAATAATTAAAGTAAATACAAAAAAATTTAATTTAAAATGAAATTATTTGATTATTTTAGCAGAAAAAAAATAACATCTTTTAAATTTTTAAAAAAAAATTTAATTTCAACCATTTTGAATTAAATGTTGGTACACGCTGTTCTGTTTCCAAAGGTAAAAAATGTGTTCCAAATCGTGTCTTGATTTATTTTGGCAGGTCTGAAAAGTAATTAACTCAGTTTCGTGCACGTACAACAAAACTGTTGGAATATTAACATTTTCTTATTGACAGTGCCTTGATGAAGTTCTTTTCTTTCTGGGTCTACGAGATTTCCAATATAAACGATTACAGTGACTGCTTTTTGAAATGGTCTTAGAAAATGTTTATGTCTGTTGTATTGCTATAAATTAATTTTAAAATTGAACATGAATAATAAAATAATTACTTTTAAAGCATTATAAAAGAATTATTACATCCTTTCAAATTCATATACGCATAATACAATAAAGCTTTTCAAACGAAAAATATTGATAATACTTTCTAATGATATACACAAAAATGTAAATATAAATAACATATTAACGCATTGTTGTAGATTTAAAGTTATAATTATTATTAGTACATTTCATGAATTCGGTGATTAACTATGAAAGAATTTTACAGTTAAAACAATTTAAAAGAAATGTGGCGATAAATTATTAAACTTTTTTATAAGTAATTCAACATTATTACTGGAAAATAACAAGCAAGTGAATACTACAACTTACTTGTCACAATAAAAATTAACAATAATTAAAGTTTGCATTTGTTTCTATTCTACTAATTATCCTCAATATTTAATTTTCGTTTTATTGCCCAATCGAAAAATAAATTTACTTGAAATAATTAAAGAAGTTAGTTAAGTCCATGAATTATGCAAAGCAATCTTTTTTTGTTTTTTTTTTATTGAAAAAGCATTTTTGAAAAGAAACAATACTTAATAATTCATGCAAGTTTTTAAATGACATTAACTTTATTTATAAACTTGTACGATTTAAATTGATGAACAATTTTATAATTTGATATTACTGGAATATTTTATTTATTCGATTTACACTTGACATTTGTACTTTATATATAGTAATAAAACTTATGATTTTTTTTTTTTTGTGACATCGTAAAATATACTATTTTCCTTTATTAAAAACCTTTACAAGTAAATTACTAAAATCATCAATTAAGTTTTGACCTTTTATATTATATTACTAAATTCATATCAAATTTTATAAATATATTGTAGTATTACGTATAATAAAAGAAAAAGCCATTTTATAATTTTATTTTTATCGTGATCTGTATGTTAACAGGTTTATTTACAGCGACTACTTACATAAGCTATTAATTAATTTTGTGAAAACTATTTTTTTTTTTTGCAAAAATAGTTTTCTATAACTTTGAGAGGTAGAAATTATTAACATTTAAATAATCTATCATCAAACATTAAATACTCATAACAGTTTTCAAAAGTTTAAAAAAACTATAATTTCGTTTTTGTTTTAACAAACATTTTGAAACTATATTTTTTATTCACTTTAATAATATAATGGTTCCTAAGTACTCTCTAAAATTGAATCGTTTTAAATGTGTTTTACAAAAAATATTAAAAAATTCCGTATTTGTGAAAACATTTGCTTTAACCTCTAAATATTATTAGCAATTTCAGCAAATCAGTAACGTTATTTCTAGAAACATCAATTATTATGTAAATCTAGTAACCTCTTAAAATACGCTTTTCAGCGTCATCTATTACATTTTCCAGTTGACCATCGAATGGAACTCCAAAATGAAAAATATTTATTCGGCATATCGGAATAGTTGCCTAAATTATCCCAAGAATCCGCGTACATCGTTTATTATTGTTGTTTTGCATGAAGTTTGAATGTTGGGATATCAAAATTCCAGTATGACTACCATCGTGCTAATAATCATATGCCAACTAAATGGTCCAACCGGCACAATAATTATATTACCATTATTAATTGCCATGTTGGATAAACAATAATTTCGGAAAATATATATATTTCAAAAGGGTTGGCAGGTTGTTGTATGGCGTTTAACAAAATGTACATAATGCTAAAACGCTATTTTCGGTAGTTCCACAACTATGTTTAGACATTAATGAATTGTAAACTGTGTTCAAAAGTGTTATTTATTGGTATTATATCAACGTATTCACTAAGTAGTAAACTCTATAGCAACTAACAAGAAGTGATTTGGATTCTCATTTAAACAACAAGCATCTGAGTGGTGTTATTCAATAACAATGATAACAATTGAAAAGTATAAAGTTATACTTTTCCAATATTACAACTGTATTTAAAAAAATGTTCGCACAAAGCATTTCATGTCAGTTGATTAATTAATAAAATAAGTGAACGGGAAACGATATGAACGAGTATGTCTTACGTACATCACTTACTTTGCATAATCATTCATCTGAGATAATGATCTATAAATGAAACGAATTAAAATGCATGTAACCCTATAGGATATAAGTATTATTTTTTTTACTCTATACACAACAACGAAATATGTCAATTGAATATCTTTTTTATTGATATTTTCCGTAAATGTTATTAACAGTAATCTAAATATATAAATTACAAAAATTAAGATTGATAATAAATTGTAGTGCGGTTAAAACTCATAAAACATATTATTATATTATAATATGTTATAAAATATATTATTCAATATTATAAAAAATACACGTTGTATAACACTTGTAATTTCTTGTAATATTTTCAAAAAATCACATATAAATATGGTTGATTGGAGCTTATAAACATTTTTCTTTTTCAGAATTCGCCAAGAAAAAAACGGTGGTGCGTGGTGTCCCAAAGCACAAATTAGTAGTGAAGTAAGAGAATATTTAGAGATTGATTTGGATAGCGATCATCTCATTACATGGACTGAGACCCAAGGTAGGTGGGGTAACGGCCAAGGTCAAGAATTTACAGAAGCATTTACCGTAGAGTATTGGAGGAAGTCCATTGGACGATGGGTGGAGTATAAAGATTCTAGAGACAACAAGGTAATATTTTACAAACCAATCATATACAATATAATTCATTTATCATGAATCATTTAATGAAGTATTTTTATTTAATCAATTCAGTGATTCCTAATAAATGAATTATTGACCTATATAGATTAATATATTAATTACCTTTATAAATCATTAAATGATTTAACTTAAGCAACGGTTTTTAGTTGTTCGCCATTGGAAACGTACGAAATGAAATGAATATAATTAATTTTATTCTAATCACCTAAATATTTTATCACACCCACAAAAATATACCATTGATCATAATTATAGTCAAAGTATTAAGCTTTTTAAATATTAAATCAAATTAAATTGTTACTCTAAACATTTTTCTACGAACTAATTGTAGGTTTTATCTCTGTCATTTTTAAACACAAAGATAAAACACACATTTTTATATCATAATTATTTTCTAAACACTTTAATTGTAGTACTAATTTCTGTTATAATATTTAATAATTAATCATCATTTTTTTAATTATTAAACATTTTTTTTAACCCATGAGTTAATAAATTGCAAAATTCAAAAACATTCATGATCTTAAATTTTATTTTTAAAACTCAATAGTCTTTTAATTACTAAAAATTAATTCTTTTATATCCGAAATGAGAATAATGTTCGTACGTATTACCATATCTTTTTTTTTTATAATGAAAAACTTCAATATTAAACAGAAGTGTAATTAAAGTTCAATTATGACTTCAGTCGAGTTGGTAAGTGAAATTGAAACAAGTCGAAGAGCCCTAGGCAAATATTTTTGTTGTATCTCTGACCCCGAAAAATATTTTAAGTTTCAAATTCCATTATTTCATATAGAATTTAATATGACAGCTTTTAAAATTAATAGGCGCTCAATTTAAACGTTTCATTTAAAATGTATAATATAAAATGATTTTTGATGTGAAACATTTAATACGAGGTTTAAAGAAGCGACTACTATATTCCCACTCTAATCGATGATTCCCTCTTTTCACTGTTTTGAACTCTTATGCCTATAGCATATACTTGGTGGGGGAGACCTGATCTCCTTATCTCTTATCAAATAGTGTTGTTGTTCACTTCGGAACACGTTGCCTGTGTTTTATTTGAATGTAATAACTGTAATAATATAATGTGAGTGACGCTGTTAGTTTGCTTATTTCAGTAAAAGTAAAATTACACTATGTCACATATTCAAGCAGTAGCGCCAATCCTTGGATTCGTGTATTGCGGTGTAATATACATAACATAGATCGTACATAGAGAGATATGTTTATCCTAATGAATGTCCACAATTTTATGAAAAAGATACATAATAATTAATGACAAAAAAAAGGCCATAAAATATTAGGTGTGTCAGAGAAAAACATTTTTATCATACATTACGTATAAAATTTGATATTGCAATCAATTATGAATATTAATTATGTTTCTATAATAAGGTGTTTATAATGTATGTACTCACGTTAAGTGTATAAAAGTGCGTGTTATAAAGTGTTATGAAATTTTTTTCATAAATTCACAGATTTTTAGAAATACATTTAAACAGTTATGAGTCTTATTAATTTTTAGGAGGCTGCCTGTTTGTACGAATAAAAATTGGTAAAATCGATAATTTCATATTAAAAATTCAGTAAAAATAATTAAACTTCGTATTAAAATTCAAGTATATTTTCTTAATTTTATATTTATGTAAAATATTATTGAAAAACTTAAGAAAAAAATGCATAGAAACATCTAGCCCCGTGAAATTTGTATCTGTGATCATCCACAAGCTATACGTTTTGCCTAACTGGCAATAGTAATCTATTGTGCCTGGCCGAAGATAAAAAGAACCATTTAAGCTAGTTTAGATTTTTTAAGTCTTTTTTTTTTCCACTTTATTGAAGAGCATTGCCAAAAAATTTTAAATAAGTGTGATGTATTCGTACAACTTCAGTGAAAATCATCGAGCAATCGTCATTGTAATAACATCAGAGGCAGCATCGAATATTAATATTATACTTATATAATATTAAATAATTAAAACTGATTAAATAATTGAATGATATCAATTTTTAAGAATATTTTAATTAACTATAAAAAACCATTTATTTTTCATCATACTTTAAATACAACATAGTTCCGATATTACACATCTGTAAGGCGTCCCGAGACGGCTCACATGTTTTTTATCCAAATAATCCTACTAATCCAAAAATACTTAACAAATATACAATAATTTTAAATAACTTGCACTAACTAAATCTATAATCATTGTAATTTAATACATTTACAGGTATTACCCGGCAATGTGAATACATATTTGCCGGTCAATCAAGAATTGGAGCTTCCATTTGTAGCGAGCCGAGTCCGTTTTGTACCATTTAGTCAACATCCAAGAACTGTATGTATGAGAGTGGAAATCTACGGTTGTCCATGGGAGCGTAAGTAGATTCAAGAATATTAATTTCACAAATGAAAATTTTTTTTTAATGCGAAACACAAAAATCGTCTTAGCATATTTCACAATAAAAAAATAATGACTGTAACCTTTTCACCTTTAGTCCGTTCGTAAATAATACACACGAATGAGTAGTAAATTAAATCTATATATTTATGTACATAAAGCCTTTGTATAAAGTCTGTGTCAACTGCATTCAACCAGACGTACTAAACGGCATTCATTAATAGTGAAACTTATGGCAATGCAGTTTAGTTAATGTTAGGTAAAAATAAAATAAATAAAATATTATAAAAAAATATCATCAAAAGATTCCGCATGTGTGTGTATGACTGTTAGTTATAGTGAATAATATCCGTAATCGTTTTCACTGTAACTCGCCACACAAAGTTGACTAATGGAGCCTTTTGAACGACAACGGACGTTCACATAATGGGATACAGTTCCGCCTTCTCAGACTCCTCTTCTCTTCCAACCCTCATGGCTGGTTCTTCACAAAAGATACCGTTTTCAACCTTAAATACAGATTACATAACATGGGTAGACTATATCGTCTCCGTTGACATTTTTTTTTATTATTCTTTTCTAATAAATAACTGGGTAGCCAATTATACTTTATTCACTAATTGGATGTTCTTCAAGTCGAAATAAATAAAACCACGAGGCAATGAAATATATACACTTTAACTAGTATCTTTTTACTGTTGTTTAATGTCATTTTGTGCACTCCTATCTTATTTGTTTAACAAAAGTAAAAAAAAATCGTAAACTGTAGAAAAATTAGTTTCTTTTAAGTAAATATCTATTTAACAATATTGTATTAAATTTAATTCTTCGTATATAGTACAAGAATTAGATCAGCTACATTGAATTAGTGATCATCCACATGCAGAGTCATTCCTTAACTTGTCCTTAAGAAATATCTTCAAAAATATTAGAGCTTATTATTATTTAAAAAAATAATGGTTCTTTGTTGAACTTCTTAACGAGAAAAATTAATTTTCTGCTACGAGTTGAAGCTATTTAAAGTTTAGAGTCAATCAGTAAAAATCCTACTTATTTTTAAAAGACGGCAAAGTCATCATGTCGTATATCGATAAAATGTACATACATCATGTCATGAACCGGTAGCACTTGCTCCAGATAAAAATGCCGTCTATTAAAAATAAGTAGGCTTTTTTCTAATTGTCCCTAAACTTAATCAGCTGTAACACGTTGAATGTAAAAAAACTTTCTTTCCAATTGAATGACTCTGATATAAAAAATATCGCAGTTGCCATTTGATAACCGAAAGGTTGTATAAGGGTATAAGGGATTGTAACAGAAAATCAATTTTTTGTGTCGAGCAGCTCTACAAAGAACCATTGTTGTTTAAAAATAAAATAACGATTAGCTCTAATATTTTCGAAATAGTTTGTAGGGCGTACTTAGGCCTGTATGTTTACATTTTTAATCACATTAAAATAATGTGATATGCGTAGTAGGTTTCTTTCAGTTTTCATCATTTTTAAAAACTCGTATCTTTAAACGTATAAAACTGTAAAAAAAAAAAAAATTAAAAGTTTTAACTTTTGTCAACTCAATTAAGATAATTATGAAGTATAAAATGAATACATTTTTTATGATAATTTTATCAATTATAATTATATTAAAAGTTTACTTCAGCATTTAAATCTAAAAAAAAAAACATAATTGATAATCAAATAGTTGATAAACATTCGATAAAAATCGCGAGAAGATCGTTGAAACAGTCAAAGTGTGTTGTTGTAATTGTCAATTAGTTCGTTAGATTTTTATACGTAATGGGAAAATTTCTCGCGCTTGTCGAGACAGTTTACATAATATTGTCACATTATAACGGCAGTGTTATTATATTGGCTTAGTGTCATAATGTTTAAATTGAAACGTCGTCTTCGCCAGTTGAACCCCCCGGCGGTGGGAAACATAGGGGCACGTGTGAGATAAACAGTGGCCGCTGCATTCGCCTTTGGTATATATTATTACTATTATTATTATTATTATTATTAAACGTACAAAGGCTAAGCGATTATTAGCGACCAAAGTCACGTACGACGTAAACTTTAGCCGCCACACTAATATTGTTCTTCTGTCGGCAATCTAACCGCAGCTCCCCCAGAGACATGGCGCACGCAACTCTCACGTCCATTACCACCGACACGGTATTTCATTTGCCGTGTTCGCCATCACATGGTGTGAATTCGAACAGCGAAAAAAAGATACATGCGCCACACCATTGTAAATAGAAGAATATGAACATCTAATAACTGCGGTACATGTTTAGATTTCCACAATAAAAGTTTCATCGTCAAATTTAACAACTTATGCTTATTTCGGTATTGATAACACATTGTTAATCCCAAATATTGAGAAATGTTATGTATTTTTACTTTAACAGTTTGTCATTGTAAAAGCATTTCCGACGTCATTGTAGTAGTTCTTTGCCCTACTGTATTATAGCCATGCGTATATTTTTCACAAAAAAATGTTTAACAATAAATACACATCATCACATGCATTCGAAAATACAAATTTATAATTGACTTAACAACGTTATAACTAATGTATTTTTCTTTTATTTTGGCGCATTTTACAATACACAATTTTTAAAACACAAAATATACGACGTATTAAATTTCTAAATAAATATGGAATTGTTTAAAGTAAACTCCAGTGAGATGTTTGTAAAACGAATCGATCAATAATTTTGTGAATAAGGCGATTTAAATAAAGAAAATATTGATACGGTTCTTCTCAAATTAACACTTTTTGTACACGGCTGAACATGAAAGGTTGCTGCTTTTTTAATAAATATTTACGCATTTAAAATGTTCAATGTAATGTCTAAACGAGTTCAAATTTTAGAATTGTTACCGAGTGATTTTAATATTTTAAACATAAATTAAACTGTATAAAAAATGACATCTTGATGTATTCGAAAAATTATATTGTTATGTTATTACGTTTTTGTTATCTTTTATAATATTTTATCGTATTGATCTGTAGGCGCATCATGTGAGTGCGAGATTAGTTGTGTGTGATGTACACTTACACGAAACTTACAAATACTTTCGCATGACTGATAAGATTTGAGTAATCATCAAACATTAATGAATTTTACTTCCTTCATATTCCCTTGATTTTTTACCCGTATACCTGAATATTAGAATTCGACCAGGATATTGGATTCCTCAGTACTACTTATGTGTCACTCTTTCNATGTACACTTACACGAAACTTACAAATACTTTCGCATGACTGATAAGATTTGAGTAATCATCAAATATTAATGAATTTTACTTCCTTCATATTCGCTTGATTTTTTACCCGTATACCTGAATATTAGAATTCGACCAGGATATTGGATTCCTCAGTACTACTTATGTGTCACTCTTTCCACTTGCCATTCACGCAACTTCAAAAGAGTTCAAATCGAATATATGTACTTAATGAGAGATTTTTAATTGTGAAATAAATATTTATCGAGTTTACAAATAATTTCAAAAATGTTGTTTGTCTTAATAGGAATAAACCTAATTGTTGATAAATAATAGTTACAAAATATATATATTTTCTTTTTCTTATTAAGTATTTTGCCTTTACAACAATTTTCGATTATCTAACAGTTCAACATATTTATTTCCAAAAAGCACTTTCAGGAATTCGTATAGTCATAGGAAACCTTTTATCCAATTAAATTGTAATCACTTTGTTCTCGATTTATGAAAAACTTTCCTTAAATAAATTTCAGTTTTACAAAATAATTTTATTATTAACTTTTTGATTTTCCTGTAAAGTTATTCTGTATTTTTTGTTTTTGACACAAAAATACATTTTAACCAGTTTAATTTCAACATAATTTTCAATTGCTGAAATTTTCTTGTTTTTAATACTGAATCGGTCTATAATAACATTTATTTTTATTTTAGCGTAATCCTATCCAGAATAGACAAGTTTATGTACTTGTATGTAAATACTATGTACACGAAGACTTACTAATTTATTTATTTTAGTTTATACATTGATAATACCAAAATGCTCAATCTTATTAAAACGTCTCTCGTGGTTAATTTTAATTCCGCTATTTCTATCGTCAAGTTAATGTTGCACTTAATCGCATTTAATGTAATAGATTATGAAAAGCCATGTACATCAAGTAAAGGGGAGTTTCATATAGAAAATTACGAGTCTCATAAAAGTAACTCGTTCCATGAATTTACTTTTACGTATTTGAGGAGAACATGATTTAGGCTCTGTAAAAACGGACAACTAAATATTAAGCGAGAGATTTCTTCTTTCTTATAGAATCTATAAACACATGCAAAATAGTATTATGCTGTCTAAATTTATGATACTCGAGAGATTTTTGACCAGCATACCAAAAGATCCTCGAGACGTGCTGCTTTGAATTAATGAAATATAAAGTAACATATAAGTATAAAGTAATCGTTTTACAAATTAAAATGAAGAATAATAGTACTTCATCATAGGTTCACGTTTATTTTCTTTTTACGAAAAATATTATATAATTCTGATTAAATAATTATTAGCAAATAAGTTTTTCATTATAGTTAACTTCTTCTATCTATGTTAATTAAACAATTGATTCTTTCCCATTACAACAACATTAAATACACTTCATAATCTTACATATTCATTAAACAAATATTTTATTTCACGAAAGTCTTATCGTTTCATAAACACAATCCAACAATTTTTTTATACTACTATTTAGAGAAACTTGATTTTTACCCATTTTTTAGTAGGAAAACGGTTTTTGAATAACTTGTCAAAAAAATAAAGTTGCACTATTCATTCATTGGATACAACAAAAAAACATAGTAAATATATTAAAAATATAAAAAGAAAATTAGTTTATTGATGAAAAAAGTTTAAATTTTAAAATAATATTAATAATATTTAATTAACAATTCAAGTTTATATCATTACAAACTAAAGCAATAAGACATTTATTGCTCTCAGTTATTAATCATCAATCCTTTAGGAATTTCAATAGCTTTTCATTTTCATGGTCACGTGAACTATTGTTAAAAGAATGTAGATTTTGTAATCTTTATATTTTTTAGCCTTAAAGAGAAAATAAAATACTTTTTTTAAATACATACAAAAGAATAGTTTTTCATAATGAAAAATTCAATTTTACTTTCCTTTATTATTTTTCTTTTATATGAATAAAGTTGTTTAATTGTTTGAAACTTAGGTAATATTTTATATTTCGTGATCAATGAAAAAAATAGCCATATTCCCTGTAAAATATTAATAGCGAAAAATAAATAAAGTGAATAAACAGTACTAAAGTGAACAATAGTGATTACTTTAGTGATAAATAAAATATTTTTAATGTATTCAGAGTATTCACTGTTTATTATTATTGCTACTTAACTAAAAATTATTATTGATTATTAAAGCAAATCTATTATACAACTTTAAACTTATTAACTTATAGATTAGTTATTACTGAGTTTTATGCGTTTTAAACAAGGTTTTCAAATATATAGTTTCATAGTATAATTAACGCTTGAAATAAGTTATGTCGTTTGTGAACATAGTTTTAGACTGAGTTGCCTAAAGCCGGTCAGGTGGCGTGGGAGCTAAATCTTAGACTTACACGGTTACTGAACACATGTACATGGCAACTTATCGCTTTAGAAAAGTTTGAAGATGATTAATTCGATGAGCTTACCGTCGTCACAGACAGTTGTACAGCTAAAGAAGTTTATTATAATAATAATCATTGTTAAACCATCCAATACTTGACAAACATTTTGAATTAACTAAAGTATTACTATACCAAACAATTAATTGACACACTTCTTAGAACTTTACCCTGTGAACTTTCTACGAGATCAGACAATCTGACGGGGAAAGACGATTAAAACATCAAACAATCAAAAAATTTATCATTTTTTGGGGAAAGCAACTCGTCAACTATAAACTTATAAAGTAAAAAAACTATATTTTAGATAAATAATAAGCAAAACTAATTGGTACTAACCCAAATTACCTCACACTTACAAACAATTTGTTTTTAAATTACCTTATATAAAAATTAAGAGCGAAAATCAAATTATTAAAAGATAAAACTAGAAACTATTTTTTTCATTAAAATTCGAAATCAGCAGATATTCAACTTTATTATGATGAAAAATTAAAAATGTAGAAATTATTAAATAAAATCAGTATTGTTGCTTGGTCTTTTAATAATACATTAATTTATCATTATCACCTAATTAGCTTAAAAATTGTACGGATAGTTTAATTCAGACTAATTAATTGAATTTCTCTATGTGACAATCATTACTCATTAGATATTACATCTGCGTACTGTAGTGTAAATCGGCTAAGGAAATGTTTGTGTCTCTCTTGTACCAAACTTGAGATTTGATCAGATTAAGTAATGTGGTTCAAGTATACCCAATCCTCTACCAGTGAGATATTAGACACTATTGAAACGTGCCATTTACAAATTCGAAATCAGTCGGATAAGTTTGTTTTACTTAATGTTCATCGAGAGGAAATCCGGAGCTTATGTTTTGCAATACAAAGTACTCTCTACATCCTACCTATTTAACTGTACAACAGTGAGGAAGAGAGTTTGAAATGAGACCGGGAAATGCTATTAAATGCACCAAACTTTCGTCTCCACTGACACTCCATTATGACTAAAAGTTTACCATCAATATGAATCGCAGGAACTTTTTTAGAAAAAAATATGCAAAAGTGTTTTTTTTTTTTACTTTAAAAACAAAAAACATCAACCAAACAAATTTTGTAATATTTATATTCACATGTACACTTTCAAAAGTATCAACTCTTACAACACACAGCATGATTCTTTTAAAGATAGCCACTCGATTTCTCTTAAAAATAATAAGTTTTTTGTAAGTATCATATACATTAGGGTGACCCTTAGCTACATGAGAGGTTTTTTTTTTTTTAATATTTGTTAGTGCCACCCCCTAGAATTATTCGAATACATGTAAAAATAAATTGTACGAAATTTGGAGACGATTGGTCAACTCTAAGACGTGCCCCAAGGGGGTTAAAAATAACCCCCAAGGGTGATTTTTTAGTTTTTTATGTCTATCTCAAAAACTTTAGCTTTTGCGAAAAAGTTTATTCGACCTTTTTTGTAGGTATACAATTTTTCTATAAAAAGTATATATAAAAAAATTTTCGAAAAGTTCTTATTTAGCCCTAAAAAAATAAAAACGTATATGTTCTATTCTTGCCGTTAAAACTGTTAATTTATAATTCGTTCATTATAAAAACATAAAAAAAATTCATTTAACCGTTGTTTTAAATTTAATTTTCTATACATTTTTAAATCGACATTTTTTCTATTATTTACTATTCAAAACCTACAATTTTTTTTAATTTTAATTTTAATTAAAAAAAATACATCAGAGTAAAATTAATACCGTCTCAGTTTACTGAGACTATTTAACTATTTACAAAGAAAAACGTACTAAAAAAATTTACTACAAATTTTAAATAATTTATCTTTTTTAAAATTCTTGGGATAATGTGTATTTATTGCAATTAGGAAAACAAAGCCGGTATTCTGTAACAATCTGTAATAGGTATTATTTTTGTGCTTCGACTTTTGTTAAAATATTATTATACTCTTCTATGAGTTTCACGCACCTCTCTGCCAAATCATTTATAACTTTTAAAATATTTACTATTATTTTTTCTCCGATATATTGACTGTTGTCTTTCCACAACAAAGGATTGATATTTAAAAAATCTGTTTCAATGTCTTACAAATCTTTCAAACAACTTCTTTGAATCAGTTGAAATAAAATCATCTATACTTTTATTTTTAAAATCATAAATTTCATTTACTCCTACTACTATACGTTTGTTTGTACATACATCTTCTTCCCGATTATTTAATGAGTTTACTATTATAATTTTAGTATCTTCACATAAATCATCATCAAAAAATGCCAATGCTGCTGATTGGGATACTAAGTACCATAAGTGACCCGAAATTTTTTTTTAAAACTACTTTAGAAATATCTTTATCTATTGGTTCATAATCAATTATATTTTTAATAAATTTTAAATCTAAATTTGTCGCTAATGCAACATTGGTGCACTTAAATCATTGTTTAATATATAAACTTGCAATAAAAATACATAATGAACGAATATTTAACTCTTTGATTGACAATTTAAATTGGCCCCGAAACAAAAAAATTTTTAAACAATAAATGGCCTTGGCCATCCAATGAGCATGATGGATTGGGCCAGAAATTTTAAAATAAATTCCAAGCAAATGTTAGGGCGTGATATTTTATACTTACCATGCAGACATCACATTTATGAAATTATATTGAAAAGTGTTTTTGAAGTAAAATTTAATACGTCAGATGACGTAAACCAGATGTTCCTATTTTCAATAAATTCCAAAAGTCTTGGCAAAATATAAATAAAACAAATTACTTCAGTGGAATAGAAGATACTGTTATTTTAGAAAAATTAAAAACAAAAAAGACGATATTTTGAAATTTAGTTTTGAACAATTAAAAAATACCAACCTCGAGATGACTATAAGGAACTTTTAGAATTGGTCATAATATTTTTTGGTGAAACGGCTTTACATAGAATTTATTTTAAAATTCCTAGCCCAATCCATTATGCTCGTTGGATGGCCAAGGCCATTTATTGTTTGAAAATTTTTTTTGTTTCGTGGCCAATTTGAATTGTCAATCAAAGAGTTAATTATTTAAATAATATTCGTTCATTATGTATTTTTATTACAAGTTTATATAGTTTCTAGTTGTATATAAATTTGTAAGTGAACATTATTTTAGCTTCAATGGTGAAACTGAGACGGTATTAATTTTACTCTGATGTATTTTTTTTAATTAAAATTAAAAAAAATTGTAGGTTTTGAATAGTAAATAATAGAAAAAATGTCGATTTAAAAATGTATAGAAAATTAAATTTAAAACAACGGTTAAATGAATTTTTTTTATGTTTTTATAATGAACGAATTATAAATTAACAGTTTTAACGGCAAGAATAGAACATATACGTTTTTATTTTTTTAGGGCTAAATAAGAACTTTTCGAAAATTTTTTTATATATACTTTTTATAGAAAAATTATATACCTACAAAAAAGGTCCAATAAACTTTTTCGCAAAAGCTAAAGTTTTTGAGATAGACATAAAAAACTAAAAAATCACCCTTGGGGAGTTATTTTTAACCCCCTTGGGGCACGTCTTAGAGTTGATCAATTGTCTCCAAATTTCGTTCTAATTTATTTTTACATGTATTCGAATAATTCTAGGGGGTGGCACTTTGTAATTTTTTAATTTTATAAATAAGGGACACCCTAATATACATGTATCTCTATTTATCATTTATTAAATCATGTTTAGGTCCACCCCTTATAATACATAAGGGTGTCAATTTTATTTTTTTTAATGGCAACATATATATTTAACTGTTTATAAAATAGAAAATTACTGGTCAATAGCAACTTAGTCAAATACTTTGGAAGTTATTAGCTTTTTAAAATATAGACTTGACGTGAAGCGAGGATTTTGCTATATTTATCATTATTCATTTCTTGGCCACTCTACTCCCCTCACCGAGTTACGAAATTGTGAATATCTTCTGAAGCACTAGTCCAAAATTTGTTGTTGACCAGTTATTTTCTTAATTAGATTTTTTCCTATTCTATTAGTTACATATGTAAGTTTCCTTTTAAAAAAATAATGTTGACACCCCTATATTACACAAGGGATGGACATTAAGAATATTTGATCACGAGTAAATTGATACATATGTAACTAACAAAGGCTAAAAAAATATTTTAAGTGAAACTGAGTGGTTAGCGTTAAAAAAACCACCTTATATATGTATATGTTTTAATTATTTTTTACATTTTTATATGAAAATAATTTATATTACAGAGAGTATAATCAATTACATGGCTCCAAGAGCTGATACCGAATTTGAAGATGTAAGTTATGACGGAGATCTTGGAAGAAATTATATGACTGGTGGATTAGGAATGTTAACAGACGGCTTGTATGGAGCTGATGACTTTTTACAATCCGATTTGCAACTCCATAAGTCACTAAGTAAGTAACCATTAATCCGATACAAAGTAAACTTTGGAAGAAAACATGCGATTGTCAAAGGTTTTTTTACTTAGTTATTATTATACCAGTTCTATGTTTCACTACTACTAATCTGAGAACACGGAAAACAGTATGAAAATCTTAGGATTTGGTTTTGGAATTCTAACAAAAATTATTTCGTGGTTTATTATAATAAATGACTGGTGTCTATTTAATGATCTCACAAATTGTTAATAGTAACCAACTTGGTATCCTAAATATTTTTTCGGTATTATGATTGTTAGTTAAAACTACAAACAGAAATCTTTTAAAGTTGTTAAAACTCGCAAATTTTTTTACATCTTTCGAAAATGTTAATATAATTATAAAAAAATTAATTATCAATAGAAACAAAAAACTTAAATTTACTCAAATTATCTTACATAATAATTATGAAAGATAAATTATTTGTTGTAGAATTCACATGGAAAAATAACAAAATTACACAAAAAAAAAATAACATCTCAAACTTAATAATGAAGTTTTTAATACATTTTTTTTTTATAAACATATGATTTCAATAATGTTTTTAATTAAAGTTATTTTTCACAAAAAATTATTAATGTTGAACTATAACCATCATATATTTCAATTAAAAATATATGCTAAGCTTAGCACTATTTTATACTTTTACGCATAATTGTATTTCAATTAATAATAAAATGGAAATAAACGTTTCAAATTATATTTAAAACAATTTCAACTTTATTTGAATCAAAGTAATCCAATAGTATAAGGGTCGAGCTCCACTTTAAAGTTAACAATTTATCTCCAGAAATTTTTCTCATGAACGAATCAGAATTTTTTTACAACAATGCCTGACTTTTCTATAACGGTATGGCAAAATCAATTCAAGTACTCTTTCTAAAACTGAGACTACAGCTAAAAACAATAAAACAAATTTAGCCCTTCAATCATTTATTTATATTACAGAACTTAATATTACGTTTATATATTTAATAATTTTCGTAACAAAACAAAATTTTCAATTAAAAGTATTTTACATTTAATATAATATTTGATTTGTAGGCGATTTTACAGACAAACCTGTTTTATTAAAAACATAGTTTTTATCATTATAATTGTAGCATTATTAGCAATTTTTAATAGCCATAATTGTATTTGAATTACAGGTAAAAGATGGGTCGGATGGTCAAACGATTCAACGGGTAATAGACTTGAATTGGTGTTTGAATGTAATGGATTCCGAATGTTCAAAGAAGTCAAAATACATACCAGTCATATACCTACCAGAGACGTAAAGGCAAGTATATAACATCAATAGCACGACACAATTTCATCTTTTGTGTCATTTATTTAATCTATATTTTTATTGACTCGTGTAAAATGCATACGCGAGCTTTTAATAAATTCAAATTACCCCGGAGACGTACTACTAAATAAAGTGCAACATAGATCATATTAATCAATCGAAAACAATAAAAATCTAAAATGTATTTTATATTATTGTAAAATGTACAATACTAGTTCAATTCAAAATGAAACAATTTTCACGTTAATGTTTTATGAGCGCTAAATTAGGTCATATACAATACTTTATTGTTTCGTGTCTCTTAAGAACAGAGTACTTAAAGTGAATGAGTTTGGGGTTTATAGAACCTTTATACCACATATCCAATACATTTTACATTTAAAGTCAATTAACCTTTTATCGGAGTATTTTAATGTATACACATTACAAATATAATCTCGTTGAACAGTAAACATTTCTAACCCACAAAGCGGTTCAATATAAAAGTATAAATAATAATGTGAGATCATAAACTGAGTTTTCTAGCTGTTTACAAAAAAAAAAACTTCTACACGCTATAGATTATCAAATTTATGTACTAAATGTAGACATAATTATTTAACTCCGTGTAAAATAAATACGTTAACATTCATGATAAATCCAAATATCTTACATTTTACACGCTTATCTAAATGAAAACTATAATGCATGTGACTCGAGATTGTTTTTTTAACGAGATACATTTTTTACGTCTTCTATCCAGGTGTTTAGTACGGCGTTGATTTACGTCAGCTTAGACGGCGACAAATGGCAAGAGTGGCCGATAAAGCTGAGCACTAAGACTGAAGCTATTAAGGACACCGCTGTGAACATAACCATCAATCTGAAGAATAGAGTAGGAAGGTATATCAAGATATGTCTTTATTTCTCTGCACGATGGATACTCATCAGCGAAGTTTCGTTCGAGTCCGGTAAGTTTAACAAATGTCGCGCGAGCTCGTTTAATTGAAATTTTCCAAGTACAAGTGTACTCGGAGTATCCCCCCCCCCAACCGCGTTATAAAAATAAAGATAACACTAAAACTAGTAGTATTCGACAATACTTAGTATTCACGAACTGGAAGTCTTCCAATTCGGGTTTCCTTTGTTGAAAACAAAAATCGTCTCTCGATCGACTAAGACTGCACGCAATCTGTGAAAATGTTAATTTATCTTTATTCGTTTGGTATTTAGTGAAGTAGATTATAATTCATAAGTAAAGTACCGATAGAAGAAATGGATAGGAGAATCCACGGAACCTAACTGAAACACTCTCGGGAACTTTTATTAAGTTTAAGTGAAAAACACTTTCGTTTATATGTGACGCGTGATATTTTACCACGCCGATATCTCTTTACTTGTACTAAACACACGTCTGCAAACTTCTAAAGTTCTATTGAAACGCCGAGAGAAACGTTGGGATTATTACAACTAGGTAATGATTGCTCTGTAGAAGGTATTTTTGCTGAAGGACTAAACTACTTTTACAAACCTTTACTGATTCCATATAAGCAACCGACAATAACAAATATTTACTCTTTTGATATTTCCATTGTTTTTAACAGAAAATCGGTGCCTACAGAAATACGTCTCGAATGAATGCAAGACTCTACTAAATATTGCATATATTTTTTAACCGACTACAACTAAAAAAAAATATCTTTATTTGATATTACATGTAAACTAAAGTTGCTATTGTTAGTAAACCCTAAAACATGTTGGCGTGAACGACGAATTTTGAAAAAAAATATATTAGTTTTTCTACTGCTGATGGTAATCACAAATCCCGTTTTATTTAAATCGAAAATAAAAAAATTCAAATCCGGTTTAAATGTTTTGTACTGTCGTAATATCGACGCCCGAAAAAACCTTCAAATTTCCGGTCGGTCGCTATCGAGATCGACATTATTATTACAATACATCTCTCATGAAAGAGCACATGTCATCACATCACTTATAGAACGATATCAGTACATATTACATTTACGTCCTCTATGTCTATTGCACACTTTCATTTCTTGTAGTCTTTGCTGTAGTCAAAATGTAATATGTACAATCTGAGAGGTATTTTACTTTAAAGATACTAGTGCGGTTTCCAGATGGGATCGAAACGTTCTCTATCAGATAGATTTTTTTGCCATTCAAAAAGTATTCTAGTGCAAACTAGATACGGTAAGTAAAATAAGTTTTGTCTTTAATAAATTATTCACAACTTGTTTGGATAGGTTAGATTTTAACGACTGCTGAGCTGTTTTATTATCATTGAGGGTCTAATCACAACAACACGAGCTGTCTACAATTATTTATAGGTACGCAGAACACTTTACGGTTACAGTGTTATTATTTTACGAGAACATTTAATTACTGTTATAGTAGAATATGTTTGCCACTGCTCATGTTAAAAACATTACTCAAAATTATTGATACTTACCGCAGTGGCTTCCAAGTTAACTAATATACTGTACGCCATAAAACTTTAGACGTCTCCTTATCCTTGAACATCATTACGCAAGTACTAAAGACACATTTTAATGATAAACGAGTATAATTCTCGCGAAACACTATACGCAAAATATTGCATTAAATGATTAATGTACTTGTACTTTTTCATAGAGAAGACATTACTGATGGTTGACATTTTTTTTGTACTTTTGGAAACCGAGGTTGTGGTGTGTTGTACAATAAATAATACCAAAAGATTATTTATTGCATTATAGTTGAATTATTTCTTCTATCCTAAATCCGATATTATAAACATTCCAAAAAGTATTATTATAGTTAAAAAGAACTTATAATATGACGACAATAGTAAATGGGAGATTCTTAGGGTGTTTTCGAATAAAAACGCCGAATATGTAATGATAACTTATTACGACATAAAAATGTGTCAAATCAACTCATACTTTCAAAGTATAAAACTAAATGGATCTTAGGGAAACCTGCAGTGTGTCAAGTCCTTAACAATTCAATTATAACCTATACGCGGGTTGGGTACTAGTACGTGTATATAAGTTTCTGGACTAATCACACTGAGAGTTAACCGAAATTTACTTTGTTTCAAACTTTCTGTTCATCAGTTAGATATTTTATGACGTTTAGTAAACAAAAGTATCATCAATATTGACCGTTGACATTTATGTAACTAATCAAAAATATTTTCTACCGAAAGAGGAAAAAAATCGAAAACTCGTTACTTTAGAGTAAACTTTTATACTTTTTTTCCGTCTCGGACGCGCCAGCACTAAAACGGAACACGTTTCTCGTTAATTAAGATATCCATTAGTCAATACTATTACTGCGCGAGACTTAAAAGTTTTCCTAATTATTTACTTTTTCCTTTGTCCCAGCAAAACTTGAAATTTATGTTTTCGCGAAACCAGGTGCGGCCAAACAACGAGCGTACTTTAAGCCCCAGTTTCCTTTAATGAGAACATTCCATTAACACGTGAATTCTTGTCCCCTTACACAATGACCACAGGGAGACCCAATAATTAAAGTTTACACCGTTGTGTAATACTCAGTGACGTAACGCAAAACGTAATATATTCCGACTAAACCGGTGTAGTATGCGTGCACATTACACGGTGGAACGGAATGTATATTTACGCGGACCAAAACTGCAGCGTTTTAATGGTGTGCATACTACAGATACTTAATGCAGATGTATTGTTGTTGCTGTAATTTCCAGAGTTGGTAGCGGCCAACATCACCGAGCAGCTGTTGTCGCAGTACTACATGCAAAAGGAAACCGGGTACGAGCTCCGGCAGAGCGGTGAATCCACACAGACCAGAAAAGAAGTTACCACTGGTAAAGACATTTTTTTTTTTTTTTCGCTTTTCGATTACAGTGCCCACTAACCGTGTCTTTATTTCATCATGTTTTCAACGGTCGCGGCGGCGGTACACAGCAAACGTAACGTATGGGGGTGAGCGGTAGTGGGCGTGTCTTCAAGACGATACGAGGGGATGCGTTTAATTTTAATAATATAAAAAGGGAAATAAATAAATACTCGAGTTGATTGCCTTTTGAGTTAATATTATTAGTACTGGGCGGTGGAGAACCATTTGAGTGTTTTCCTTTGTGTGGGTCGTCCGTCGGTTATGAAAATTCTACTGCTCTGGAATACATTATATTTAAACCCACGCACTGCAACGGTATTGTTTAAACGGGTTTTATTTTTATTATTATTATTTTCGTATTTTCGTATTTTTACCATTTTTTTTTTTTCCAACAAATTCATTAATAATTTCATATTTTTGTTCGTACGACCAACAGGTCCTAGCCCGGGCAACAGCACCCAGACGTATGTAGGTCTAATAACTGGTGCACTCGCCATGACTGTACTCCTAGTCGCTTGCGTGGCTGTAGTACTGGCGCTAAAACGAGGCCGGCAAAAGGTAGCTCTACTCCAGTTCAAGCAAGCCACTCTGGGTGCGCCCAAACAACAGTCGATTAACATGAAACACCTGAACATATCGAAAACAATGGGGTCGTCGTCACTGTACGGGCGCAACACAATAGTAGGCGGCAATCAAGTGAGCCACGAGTCCGAGGACAGTGACAACTCCTCTGTTTACCACGAACCCTACAAGCGGCTACCGTCCAAAAACTACGATTATGCTCCAACCACGTTTTTGTTTAAAAAAGAAATGGCCGCGATGACCACGAGCAAGAGTAGCGATTACACGGGTCAGTACAGTAAGAGCAAAAACACGTTTTATTTGTTTTTCGAAATAATTGTACAGACGACGAATTCACAATAGTTAAAAGGCCTCGTTGATTGTACAAACCCCGTCATATTTACGTATCCTCGAATTAATTTGCTTTATACGACAAAACGACGTCGTCGCATTTTCCAATTGTATACTCATTGTGATTTTGTCAATAAACATTACAAAGGGTTATAATAAACAATATTGGCACGTTCGTCCATTAATTCGTGTTTTCATTGTGTGTAGACTTCACGAGTGTTGGTAGTTTCGGTCAGGACGAAGTCAAATACTCGTCTCCGTCCATGTACACCCTCAACCAACCGCCTCCGCCTCCGAACTCGAAGCCTCCGCCGCTACTGCAGTCCGAGCAGCTCAACAAATCGCTTCCGGCCAATCTGCATAACTACTACGCCGCCATCGATATAATCAAAGTACGTAAACCGCAGTCATAACGTCGCCGCCGCAGTTTCGACAGCTGCGTCCGTTTGTCGTCGGTGACGTTTTTAACCCTTGGGTCGTGTTGTTGTTTTTTTAGACCGAACGAAAAGAGCAGCATTTTACTCCTGGCAAATTCACCAGCATGAAATTGCCCGAAGACAAACAGGACGAGTGCAGCCAAACGTCGTTGTACGAGGTGTCTAGGAGCAGGCTGCGAGTGATCGAAAAACTGGGCGAGGGCGTTTTCGGAATGGTAAGCGTACACATAATATTTTCATCCTCATCGCGCCAATCCGTCTTCGCCGAGAACGCGGCGTACGTGATTGGAATGCGTGGAGATATTTTATTAAACAACTGTCAATGCCATAGATCCACTTATGCGAAACGGACGGAATCCCTGAATACAATGCTACGTCGACATTCCATAAGAAACGAGTGATCGTCAAATCACTGCGGCGAGGTTGCGGGGAACAAAACAAGTAAAAAACAACTTTTCTTATCTAAACGCTAACTTGTTGCATTACTGTGAATTTTCCGCGCGGCCTAATCCCCCAAACCTATTATTCCGATCTGTGTACAATCTTTACGGTTGCAAGTCAACAGATACTTCGACCGTACGTTTTGCTTGCGCGTAACTTCACGACTGACCGAAATACCAAAAGTAAAACTACACTACCGTGTTTTAGACAAGAGGTGATGAGAGAAACGAAATGCTTGTACACCGTTCGGGATCCCAACGTCGCTCGAATCGTGGGCGTGTGCGGTCCCGACGAGCCATTGTGTATCATCCAAGAATACTGCGAATATGGAGATTTGCCGACTTTCCTAAAACTCCAAACCACCGAATCCACCGAAAGTCTTCCCACGATCAAGTCAGTATTCTTTGCACCGCACGTTCGTTTAACAAATGTATTTTATTCGTTTAAAACTTATCTTGTATAATTAGCTATGGCTGTTTGCTGTACTTTGCCACCCAAATCGCCTCGGGTATGAAGCACTTGGAAGGCAAAGGAATCGTTCATAGAGACTTGGCGGCAAGAAACTGTATGGTCGGCAAGAATTATTCATTAAAAATATCCGATCACGCTATTTACTGCAGTCAATTCGATGCCGATTACTATGTTAGTGACACTAAATCAAGATTACCAATTAGATGGATGTCCTGGGAAAGTTTACTATTGGTAAGATACAGTTCTGTTGGCATGAATTTTATTATTTTTTTTTTAATAATAAACATCGGTATAAAAATATCTTTTGAAATAGATTAGATCTTATTTAATATCGAGTAATATTTTCCCTGCTTTACTTTAGTCGGAATTCAAATACTTCGCATAAAGAACTTTTAACTGTTGTTTAAAACTGTTATTCGTTTGTAATTTTATTTCTCTTTTAATAAAACGGTTACTTCAATTAAATACAATTTTCTTTCTAAAGGCTAAAACTCGAAGAACACCGTTTATATTAATTGCGTTTTACATTGAATAGTGTAAAATGAAAACGTAATTAATATATTTTAACACATGGTCGTTACATTAATCTTATCGAACCCATTAACATTTGTAACGAACAATAAATTTAGACATTTATTGCGTACAAAACTGGGTATTAAGGCCTACTCTAAAAAATTGCTATAGTTTTACAAAGGTACTTGCGATTTCTGACACAGATATTTCAATTTTTTTGTGTTTAATTATTAACACTATTTCATACTTGGTTAATACAATAGGCAACAATTGTCAACTGTATAAATAATTGTAGTATTGTGTCTTTCCATTCGTCATGGTTTTGTAAAAATAATTGAGCGCGGAAAATCTTATTCCAAAAATATAAACCATTTCTTTTTGAAATAAATTAATCCGTACGCGATTAAATGATTCGATGGCATCTAATTTATCAATAGAGCAAATGATTAATGGCGGCCAAAGTTTTTTTACTCTAATTTCTATGCGCCCCCGTGGATTTATTTTTACAATTCCGCACATTAAAACAAGTTTGATTAATAGTGTTCACGTTGGCTTTCATACAACTTGTTGCTGATAGATAGTTTTGACGGGTGTTCGTTTTGAATGTTTTTTTTTTTTCCGTTTAGGGTAAATATACGTCGAAAAGTGACGTTTGGTCGTTTGCTGTCACGTTATGGGAGATATTGATGTTCTGCAGTGATCAGCCGTTAGCAGAGTTGACCAACGAACAAGTGGTAGAAAACACTAACCACATGTACTTGGCTAACGGCAAATATCGATACGCAGAACCACCTCCGAGCTGCCCGCGGGAGATGTACGAGCTAATGGCTGAGTGTTGGAAGCGAAACGATGCGGACCGACCGACGTTTTCCGAAATTCATTTGTTTCTGCAGCGTAAAAACCTGGGCTACGTCCCGGTGATATAGGACGGTATGTGAACGCGGATAAAAAAAGGTAATACACTTTACTCGGAGTACTATTGTTTCGCCTCTTCCGGACAAACGCCGTAACAAGAAATAATTGATGAGACGTCAAGACGCGCCCGGACACTGTCAGTGTATGGAACGCTTCTGATGAACATTAAAATTTCACGTTTGTATACCGTAGGGAAAGCTGTTTAAAAATTAAACGCTTGCTCCGTGTCAAATTGTACTTTCGAAAAATATTTTTTTACACCTATCTCCTATGATATTTAATATTGTTATATCGCCATACGAATCGCGACTTAACATTGTAAGGTATCCGTTTCTGTGCGATGTTCGTCTCTTTTTTTCTCTCTCTCTCTCTCTGACTTTACGTTTCTCGAATTTTGTTTCATTTCTCAGTAATATATTATACTTAGTCATAACGTTTTANCTCTTTCTATCTCTCTCTCTCTCTCTCTGACTTTACGTTTCTCGAATTTTGTTTCATTTCTCAGTAATATATTATACTTAGTCATAACGTTTTACTTTATACGCGCACTCACGAAATGTCTTCCAAATTCAAATCCATACTTTCCAGCACAATAAACATGCGTGCGAATAACTTACACGCTACGTTCGGTATTAAATTACTTTATGAAATGGAAAATGATTCTTCAAAGGGTTTTTCAATTTAACTCGAGTATTTTCTTTTAGTCAGTAAGGTTGTACATAACATTTAGGTAAATTGTTTATTTTTATTATACGTTAATTAACTCGAAATTAAAACGTCGTTTGTTTGTGTGTGTGTGTGTGTGCGTTCGTGTGTGTACATAACTTTGACTGTTGTATAAAAAGCGTCGCATTCTAAGTGACAAAATGTTCGCGTCGTACCAAATTGTTATTTGAAAATTAATAAACACGTCGAAAGTATGGTAATATGTAAAAAGAATAAATAGCTCTAATTTTTATTCAACCATAATAATGTTTCAATTGACTAGGTTTCGAACCGAGTTTATATGAAAAAAATAACTCTTTTAGATATGTCTGAGTGAACAAAACTGCGGTGCAAATGACTGACCAACAATAAATTTTAGATAGCTACTTTTAGCGTTATTGGTTAGATGAAGACATAAAACGATAGAAGATTACAGCCGAGAGGTATTTTTTATACCACTCGACTGTACAATGCGCATAAAAGAATCATATAGTTCATAGACGTTGAAAAAATTCTGCGAAATCGTGTGATACACGATGTTGAAGTGTATGTGTACAGTTACTTCTTTTTACATTTTATTCTAATATTTCCTTCACTATATTGTTAATTTATTCGACTTTATGTTTTAATAATTCTTATGAGAAAACACTTCAAACATCTTACTCTACATTATGTCGAATAAATGTAATAACGATGTGTGGAAAAAATAACATTTATATTATAAACGTGTTCAATTTGAATAAACTCACTCCGAAGTCTTTCCATTTAGAGTCGAACGAATAAAGCGCCTGTGTGGCACATTCGTGTAAATTACTTTTAAGGTTCCATTCGCTCCCTTTCCCCTATTTTTAGAGATTAATGATATGCTTCGTTTGTTGGTATTCACGACCTAACTTTTCAATCAATTCATTTCACCCATTGTAAATAATCCAACAATTATTTTTATTTATTTATAGTTCGATTTACTTCAATTTTTAGTTTTACAAAAATATTGTTCATACGTTTTAAGCTCAAGTTATGAATAATTGAGCTCGTGTAAAATGCAATAAATCGTATAAAACTATTGTGAAATATTACTCATTTGAGTCATACTAATCGGTTATTGTGCAATTACTTGTTCGGAGGCGATCTTACTATTCCATTCCTGGAGGGGATACTGTCTAAACTCAAAATAAATTATTTTACAAGATTTTTTTCAAGTGGTTTTATGTAATTGTTTACGGACAAAATTTATATGGAATGTATTCCTCTAAATCGCTCCTGTACATGTTATGTAAATTATGTTATATTATTATAAACGGTTCTCATTAAAAAATTTAAAACACTTTTTTTTTTTGTACATATTATTTTTATCTTAAGATGAGTGTGATAAAATTACTTAGATATATTTTTTAAAAGCGCATATCATAAAGATATTTAATATGTTTGTCCTAATCATACTTTAACATCAAATTCCTTTGAACAAACGTTCAGTTATTATTTTTTTATTTTGTTACGTTGTCGTTTTTTTTTTCCTGTAAACGTATAAATTTATTTTGTGTCGCTAAAATGCGACAAAATATGAAAAATGGTACTCGACAAAGGGTGTCATGAAATGGTGTGTAAATAATATTACTATTACATGGAGGGTATATAATCAATTGCCCACGTTGCTAAGAGACAATCAATCTCCAACACTTTTTGGCCTATAATATTTTTTACTTAAAAAAATACCTATATATGGATAATACATTTAATATGTCCAAAGAATTTATAGCACATGGTCTATTTAACATTTCGACCGAAATAGAAAAATATTTACATTCTACTTATATAATACAAACGCATACATTTTAACAAGTATATATTTTTTTCAATTTCCGGATTGGCGAGTCTCTTTTAATGACATAAAGTATTTACTATTTCAATCAATATAAAATAATACCTTTACGTTTTAAGTATGGATAAAATTTTAACTCATGGCATTTGCCATTTATTATAAAAATTTATATTATGTGTATTATACAAACTTAAATTTTAAACAAACCTTATTGTATAATGTATTTTATTGATTATATTGTTGTTTTATTATTATTAATTTAAGATAAATAAATCAATATTATAAGTATTCCTTTGTCTTAAAAAAATGTTATTTAATAAATATGTATGTAACTCAATGATTAAAATTTTTTTCTTTATTAAATCAAAACCTAACATTTTTAAATAAAAGAAAGAAATCTGAAATGTTATTACTTTTTATCAAAAACTTTTTTAGGGCTGTGTTGTGTGTTTATTTTGTGGTTTTCAGGTAAGTTAATGTTCAAAAACTATATACAATACCAGGTGAAAATATTATTAATTACTAAAATTATAACCAATACAAATCACTGGTATTTTTTTAAATATAAAAATTGTAACTATATACTTTTTAATTAAAAAAAAAAAATGAATTGGTATAGTTAAAGTCCAATTAAATATTCGAAATATATGCATGCATAATTAGGCACTACATATTCATAATATCGATTTTATTTTTACACTTAAATATATTCCGTTAATCGGCTAAGCTATGACAATATTTGAATAAAATAAAGCTGTAGTTTTGGATTAACTTTGTAGTCATGACACTTTTGTCTATTAACACTACAAGTTTCCCATTTATATAATTGTTTGTTATATAAAATAACCAAATGTAATGCTATTAGAATGCAAAAACTTTAAGGTTCTCTATAATCCATATATCATATTTGTAATTAAATTAAAAAATTACTTAAACATTTTTTTTTAATTTTAGACACAAGTGAGAGAGCTGGAGGGATATGGATGGCCGGGAAACGTATTCATGCATAAGTCTAGTTTTGTCTATTTAGGGTAGTTATATTGATTTTTGTAACGGATCAATAAATAAAATTAATAAGAAATGTAGTTTTTGAATGATCATAGAATATCATCAAATAAAAATATAAATTTATACACTATAATAGTATTATAGACTTTCATATAAGCGACAGATGAAGTAGATTTAAAGGCCATACATTATGTATGATCTTTATTACCAGTACAACTTTGAAAAATTGGAATTGCCAATGAGTAAATAATCATTTTACAATACGAGTTCAATGGTTGCACATAAAAGATTTCTTTACTGAGTCGACGTAAATGTGTTAAAACGAGAACAAAATTTTAAACAATTTATATTTGAGTAAAAATATGTTAGTCGTATTTCAAAAACAGCACAGTTTCAAAATAACCGAAGATAATATCTGTCGAGAATATTATCATTTATTTCGTTAAAAACATAATTAAGGGCATTTCAAGTACGCCATTCAATTATTTTTTAATTATCTATGCTCCTCACGTTGTTTGATACTATATCAAGAAGTATACCAATATTTTTTATTAAATTAAAATATGCTAATTACTTTTTCTTTTTAATTTTTAAATTATTTTATGAAAAGATTAATTTTGATATTAATTTGATAGCAACAAACAACTAAATTAATTATAACTTTTCAATAAAAATACTGTTACTAATTAAATTATTTTCTAATTATACCAAAGACATGTTGAGCTAAAATTTGAAGGATCGTAACGACAGACAGTTTGCCGTGATTACGTAGAAAACCTTAACATTTTACGGGTCTCTTCATGAAGTGGTTTTCTTTTTTCGCAATGAAAAGTTCTCGCAAGAGTAGGGGAAATTATTTTGGTATGAATTCATGTTTATAGGGAGACGACGAGGCCGAGTAGATAACGCGGCAGTGCTTGACGTGCACTACTCCTCTGGTTCGAAACTCGGTCGCCGACGGCTTCATTTGCCGCCAAGCCAGAGACAGTTCGGTTTTTGGAGTGACCTTCCCCTCTGTCAGACTAACCATCCGTCCCGGAGTATCAACGGTTAAGAAACCTGCTCCTTCGGGGGAGGCCGCTATGGCTTAAAAAGCGTTAAAAGAAAAAAATGAATTCATGAGTCATCTCTACGCTTTGTTGTTAGGTACGTGAACGTTCTATCGCGGTATGTTCATTTGAAAACGATCTATACTTCTATTTATCATAACGTAACTCTTATGTGAATTGAGAAATGCTATTTCCTATCAAACATCATAATATGATGTGCTTTGTCCAGCCATGCACGCGTCATTGCTATAACAATAGTTTACATTATTCCTCGAAGATCCTCCGCTATGATAAAATTATGCTTTAGCAAAGTGTATAAACTAACCCGAAACAATAGGGTACCACCATCAGTCATACCGAAGTGTATACAGCTATCCAACTTCCCGGTCCATATATGCATCAGATTCGATCGTGACCCGAATCCTTTGGGCGACCAGGTAGGCAGTACACTTGCTCGTGTTTACTTCAAACATTACACCGGACCCCAATACGGCTATTTTTCTCGGTGTTGCCTGCAGCTTTAAGCCAATGAATGTCCGTCGCCCACGGTAAATAATAAATAGGCAACAGTCAATTCTATAGAAACTTACTTGAGATACATACGGAGTTTATTTGACCGCATTGTTCCCACTGCTATGAGCCCGAGGGCAATTTTTGAAAAGTGTTTTAAATTCGTTGTGTTCTATTCAAAACTGTGCTAATCTAAAGAGAAACATTTTTACCACTGATGGAATATATACACTACTTTATTGTCTTGTCCGCTCGGAGATTACCGACAAATGCGAATGTGCAAAGGTCCATAAGGGTTAATAGACTATCGGACCATAACGTGTGAGCTAAATGCTGGAACAAC